ACCGTATGTCCATGCGCATGCCCGTTAAGCATTTGATGCGAGCTGTGAAGCGACGGTGATGGATTGTGTTGATGACTAAGCTTGCGATTGCTCGTTATGTGATCCTCCTCCGCGGTGTAGGGGAAATGATAGCCATTCTTGTCCGAACCCTCTGACATGCGATCCGAGTGATAGTCGGCCGAATTGGGTTGATGTTGTTGTTGGTGTTGTTGCTGGTGGTGATGCTGCTGCTGTAGGTGTTGTTGACGCTGCTGTTGCGCCTGATAGTCGTTCTTAAGTAATGAATGCACTGAATGCATTGAGTCCGCAGCGCCGACATACATATGCGGCTTCTTAAGGCTGTAGTGATTTTCGCGTGAGCCATAAATATCGGGCGCAATGCGCTCTTTGGACATATACGGCGAGTCCGCTTTGGGGCCCATATAGCCCAGTGTGCGTTGTTTGTCATAAATGCTATCGCTGAGATAAGCCGCATCCGGGTGGAAGGAGCGCATGTGGTTGACGATTTGTGTGCCACCATTGCCGCCGCCAGCGCTACCACTACCACTGCCGCTGCCACTACCACCACCACCACTGCCGCCGCCATTATACTCCTTCTCACTGCCATAGTGGCTGGGTGGCTTGTAGTTGCCGGCGACGGGTAGTGTGTCGAATTGTCCATAACTATCCGGGTAGTCCTTGCGGCGGTAAATACTGTCGCGTTCGTGTGCCTCATAGCCATTGTCATTACGCACGTGTTGCAGATTTTCCAATATCGATGGCGGCATATTGATTTTGTTATGATGCTGTTGCAGGTAGGAGGTGTCCGTGAGATCTGGATTTGGCAGTGGGTTTGGTGAGATGGTAACTTTTTGGCCGTGCACATGCTCATTGTCGGAACCAGTTTCCTGTGACCAGCGTCCCACATTCGGCGGCGACTGTAGGTAAGCGTCAGGCAATTGACTCGACCAACGCGGCGCGTAGACAGGTTTATTGACGCTTGGGAAGAGCTGTGGACTTTGTACGACATTTAACTCGGGCGGCGTAGTTGCTTGCACATGCTCGGTAATGTTAGGCAGGTATGAGGGGGTAGCGCTGACACCGGTGCTGCGATGCGTGCCCGAGGATCGCGCGGTACGTGATTCATCATCATCGCTTGAGTGGCTAGAAGCGAGTTCTAATGAGCGGCCATCGGTTTCGGAGCCTGAATCGGAGTCTTTGCGATGACGACGAGATTTTTCTTCACGGCGTCCAGCACCGCCACCACCGCCGCCGGTAGAGGATTCGAAGCCGCGCAGAAAGCTGGGTGCATCGCTGGCCGAGTTGTAGTTCGAGGTAGATGTAGAGGTCTGGCGTAGCTGGCCATCACTGGAAAGAAGTGAGGAGAGAAAAAAGCGAGATATTTGAATTAAATAAAAGTTGCGTTCGATAGGCAGTCAGCAGTGACCGGAGGACATGGCTGACGGAGGGTGAGAGTCTAAAATATTTTTACAATGAAGAGTATCGGTTTTGGAATCCATTTTAGAGTTTCAATAACACCCCAGTTACTCTTCAATACATTCAACACTCACCTATATGGACTTGAGCTCGTTTTCGCCGTACTCCTGGACGTCGTGCTCGATACACTGATGCCCACATTCCTTCGCGCAGTATCGTAGCTACCCGCTAGGAAATTGTTCGGTCTCGTCGCCCCATTCACATTATGTGAACTATTGCTCACAACTAGCGAAGAATCTAACAATGGCACTTTCCGTCCCATACAACGCAAGAAGGTGCGTTGCAAATTTTCTCTCACGCGCTTGTTTATAATACAATAGCCAATGAGACAGAAAATGGAATGCAGCACTACCACACCGGACAAGAGGATGCTCAGCATCTGCGAATTCTCGGAAGCAGCCAACACAGCCAACACCCACATGACGCCCATCATGGGCAGCGAGACGACAGATAACCAAAGTAACGTGCGTAGATTGCCAAAACCGAGTACGTGATCTTTCAGCGTGAATGCAGCTTTCACAGATACAAACAGTATTAGTAGATTCACCACCGACATACCCGCAATGGGACCGACCAGCCACCACACGACCGGCTCGTATACGGAAAGCCAACAGCTATTGAAGAAACATACATACATATATATATATGTATGTAGGAGAAACAAAAAA